ACACATACACACGCGCGCACACACACACGCACGCACACACACACACACACGCACGCACACACACACACACACACACAGAGACGCACACACGCACGCCACCCTTCCCCACACCCACTGTCTGGCTCGCTCGCTGTCTTGGCTATATTTTTCTGTGTGACGTGCGCGTGAACGAGAGCTGTAATCATTCTATCGCATCGTGAATAAGCGCCACTGCTGTGCTGCTAGCGTCATCGTTGACGTCGGCGTCACCGGCTTGATTAACATCCAGTTCCAGTGGGTTTTAGAAGCGCACATACACATCTCATACATCCTCTCGCAGCCTCCATAATCCTCATGTGGCCTCCAACATCCCCTCATCCAACCGCATCTTTCTGCACTCCGCATCCTCGTATCCTCCTTGAGTCTTCAGAACCCCCCCAGCATCCTCTTCTAGCCACCCGCTTCCTCCCGCGTCTTCCTATAGCATTCAGCATCCTCCCGCATGTTCGCTCATCATCTCATATCCTCCCTCATCTTCCCTCATCCTCTCTTCTCCCTTGGTATCCTTTTGTATCATTCTATAAATCCATCCGACCGTACAGACAAAGAATGGCATTTGATGCTATTTGTTTACGTCGATATATGGTTTCCCGGTGATATGAGAGATGGCTTGGCTGCGGTCACTGCTTAATAGGCACATGACCACCGTGCCCATCCTAAGTACTGATCAAGCGATTTCCTACGTAAGTCTTCCTATGTGGGTGCCTGTGGGTGATCATGCGTGCGTGCCCGCGTACGTGCGTATGTTACCGGTGCATACAGCGGTGACTGCCCGCGTGTGTGATTATTATTCATTTGGGTTTTTATTACAATAATTTCCCCATGACAGCTTTTCTGTTAACGAAGTGAAGCCTTGATTGATGAAGCCCTCTACACGTACACGTAGAAAGCAAGCTGTGGGTAACAAAGCAGCAGCACGGTGTCAATGCTCGAACTAATAACATGATCGTAATAGCATGAAATCGTAATGTGCACACAAGAAACGATGGGGGAAGGGGGACAAACGCATACGTGTGAGGGAGAGACAAGCGGGTGCGTTGGAGTGGTGAAGGTGCGCTCGCGTGGTTGAGGGAGGAACTAGTGTGCGTATATGAGGAAGGGAGGAATGGGAGAGGAGGAAACGAGCGTACGCGTGGCGGAGAGAGGAGCGAGTCTGCGATTGGGGGAGTGGGAACGAGACCACTCATAGGGGAGAAAGGAACGAGCGTACGCGTGTGTGAGGGAGAAACGAGCGCACGCGAAAGGGATGGTAACGACTCTAAATATGGGAAAGGAGTTTGCTTTTGACTGAGGGAAGAAGGCGTTTGCGTTTGTGGAGGGAGGAACGAGTGTCTGTGTGTGCGGGGAGGGGGCGGGAGCGCGCTTCTCTCGGAAGATTAGGATTAGCGAGCGTGATCGTTGCGCAGGGAAGCCGATGCAACAAACAAACGCTAATTCTACACACCCGTCATGCGATACTGGCGAACGAAAGTTCATCCATTTTCATCAGAACATTTTCCGCAGTCATCTGTAGTTCTGCGTGCGTTCCCGGGAGCGTCGTGCGTGTGCGTGCGTAAGTGTGCGTGCGTACGCGCACGCGCGTGTGTTGTGTGCGTGAGTGTGTGTGCGTGCGTGAGTGTGCGTGCGTGCGTGAGTGCGCGTGCGTGCGCGCGTGCGTGTGCGTTGTGTGCGTGAGTGTGCGTGCACGTGCGCGAGTATGTTTGCGCGCACATGCGCGAGTGTGCCTGCGCGTGCATGAGTGCGCTCGTGCGTCCGTGGGTGCGTACCGTGTGCCCGTGCGAACTGACTTGTTTCTGTGTTTCACCACCAGAGCGCGCCGGAGTCGCCGATCAGCGGACCTAAGAGCCCGTCGAGTTTTCCGACGATGGAGGCGCAGCTGAAATACGAGAACGAGAAGCTAAAGATCGCGCTCGCACAGAGGTGAGCCAGCCAATCACGCTTCAGTAAATAAGTGGCGTAGCCAATCACGATAGTGTAAATGATGTCGCAGCCAATCACAATGCTGTAAATCGTGTCGCGCCAGCCAATCATGTAGACGAGCATGTTGTGGTGAACCACATGACTAGCCGCCGATGGCGCACTTTTGTTTTGGCGAAACAGCACATTACGTTTGCTCTCTCTCCATTTTCTCGTCATGATGCAGTCATTTTATTTCAGACATATCATTTGTTGTTTATATGATCTCCGATGATATTATCGTCACTTCCAAATCTGTCCATCCACTTTATCATATCACTCGTCGTAGTTAAGTCAAGCAGCTATGGTGCGTGGTAAATACAGAATCGGCCATTCTCTGTGCCTGGGACGAACCACAAGCTTCTGGAAACCCGCCAATCGAATCCCACGGCCGCGGCAGCTTCTGCCATAGTCACGTTACGTCACGCCTACGCAATCCACTTGCATTTTCTCTCGAAATCTCTTCCGGTTTTCTGATCCACATCAGAGCGATCGTATTAGCGTACTATCTAATCTCTCTACTCCACGTCGCTCCCTCTGCGTCGTCCGGCGATTACCCAGAGGGCGCCACGGCTCACGGGGCGTCGTCATCGGCCAGGAGCCACTCCCCGTCGCACCTAGGGGGCGCCACAGCGGACGCGACATCACTTTTCTCTCTTCCCATGGGAGGGCGCGGCACCTATTCGACGCAGCACTGTCCCTCTCTCCCTCAGGGTTCCCACGATGCTATGTGCAGCCCGTCCGTTCACCCAGTAGTAGACTCGTGTGCGATGACGTAGCCAGGGGGCGCCCTGCCACTGTCGTCTGTGTAATTCCCCGCGATGCTTTCGGCGCAGCTCGGCGAACGCGAAGAAGTGGGAGGTGGAGCTGCAGACGCTAAAGAACAACAACGCGCGGCTGACGGCGGCGCTGCACGAGAGCACGTCCAACGTCGACGAGTGGAAGAAACAGCTGCAGGCGTACAAGGAGGAGTGCGCCACCCTCCGCTCACAGGTACGTGGGTGAGAGAGAGAGAGAGAGAGAGGAGGAGGGAGAGGGGAGGAGACCGAGGAGGGGGCCGATGCGCGCAGGATAGGATCGAACACAGTTGCAGGCGTACAAGGAGCGAGTGCGCCACCCTCCGTCACAGGTACGTGGGGTGAGGGAAGAGAGAGAGGAGATGAGGGAGCGAGGAGGAGAGGAGGAGGGGGGAGGAGGGGAGAGAGGAGGAGGGATGGAAACAGCAGCAGGCATACAAGGAGGAGTGCGCTACTCTCCGCTCACAGGTACGTGGGTGGGAGAGAGAGAGAGAGCGCGAGAGAGAGAGGGGAGGAAGAGGAGGAGGGGAATGGGAGAGGAATGAGAGGGGGAGAGGCGGAGAGGAGGAGGAATGAGAAAGGGAGCGGGAGATATACAGCTGCAGGCCGACTAGGAGTAGTGCGCCACCTTCCGCTCACAGGTATACGTGGGTGAAAGAGAGAGAGAGAGAGGAGTGGAAGGGGAGAGGGGGATGAATGAGAGAGGGAGCGTGAGATAGACATATGAGGAAAGCGCCAGCTACTGCTCACAGGCACGTGGGAGAGAGGGGAAGGGGGAGGAGGAAGATGGGAAGAAGGAGAAGGAGAGAAAAAGCTGCAGACCCGAGGGAGACGAGAAGCTGCGGAAAAAGCTGCAGGATTTGAAGTAACAATGCGGCAGCATCTGCTCACATGCATGTGGGAGAGAAGGAGGAAATTTAAAAGAAAGGGAGGGGGAGAGGAAGTGGGAGGCAATCAGCTGCATGCTAATTAGGCGAAATGTGCAGGTATGTGGGATAGAGAGGAAGAAGAAGGGGAAGAGAGAATTGATGGGAGGAAGCTGGGAAGGCCCAGCCCCATGCCTTTGCTTCCAGGTATCTGTGCGCTAGGGAGAGTGGAGTGGGATACGAATTGTTAGGGAGTGAAAAGTGAGTCAGCAAGAAAGAATTATGGGGTACAACAAGGGAGATATATTTTGTAGTAATAAATATTGAGATGGTTAAGGGAGGGAAAATATAAGAATGCAGGAATCGTGCGAAGGTATTATTTACAGACAACCGCAGATGATACGCGGTGTAGTTAAAGGGATAGTAGACTAGGATTTTACTGCATACAACTGTACTTACTGTGTAACAAATCGTCTATACCTACACGTATTTGTTACCAGATACCTAATTTAGTTGTTATAATTAATTACACATCAACGCTACGAAATTTGAACGGCGCCATGACACCCGCGACCGTGCTGCCACCCCGAAAACGTTGCGTATTTGACCATTTATTTTGCACGTTACAGACCGAGGGTTAATCACAAAAGTGCAATTATATTTATACCTAAATGCTATTTATCCATATTATAACTGAAACTATATGTCGTTTATAAGATATTACAATCCTTTTGCTTTTAAATTAATAAATAAGAAACACCCCGCTCTTGTAGGCCCTAGCGTGTAACCAGTTGGTTTGTCGCGAACTATCAAGATCGTGCGCTTTGATGGCGCGCACCGTGTTGTAACCAACTGAGTCGTTAGTTTAAAACCTTTCTTTAATAATATTTCATATGGTTGAAATCCATTAAAGGACTGTTTGATGGTAGCGAATTTTACCTGAATTAATTAAATAACCCTAGAATCCTCGATAATATGATTCCCTTTAACCATGTAGTTCCCTACTGACACTCACAAAATCTGCCATCGTATCGGAAACAACGCACCAAATTAAATAATTTAAGTATCACCGTGTCTAAACAGTTCGAACGGGCTGTAATTAATAAACACGTGGACTTCGTATTTATATATTACTGATGTTCGACTGTACGCCGATTTCAGCTTTCGTTAGGCCTGCAGTATACGTGTTTCGCAATTTTACTCACTTTAGCCGGAGAAACGCAATCGAGCGCAAATGCAACTTGTAATTACTCCACTCATCTATCGCATAGACGCTGGGGGCCCCCGCAGAGATGAAGAGACATAATGATGAGAATAGAAGTAAAGGAGAGGAGAAAAAGAAAGTTGAATGGTGAAAGGGAGAGAGGTTTAGGCTATAAAAAGAAGTAGTACATAAAAGTATAGGATGAGAAGGCAAAGAAAAAGAGGAAGAGGAAGGAATGAAAGGAGGAAGTGGGGAGGCTGAAAGGAGACAGGAGAGGAGGAGGTAGGAGGAGAGGAAAGAAGTTGACGGCTAAACATGCTGATGACGGCGACGACAGAAGCGCTAATACGAATAGAATTTATGCCTACCACTACTCACCCTGCTAATCCTCGTGGTCGCTAATTGCAAACGCTGTCGCGGTTCCTAAGCCGCATCTCATCGTTAGCGATGACAGCGCGGACTAACACAAGCAATATCGCACACTGCTTCTGCGCTCCTACACACGCCCAGCCCGACGCTTAATACACCGCAGGTGCAGCTCAGTCACGACGCTAAAGTACCATCGCTACGCACGCAGTTGCACGCAGTCCATGCTAGTGCAACGCTAAGGCTACCTAGTGCACGCTAGTACCAATGGATAGCCAGCACCGCCTAGTGCACACGCATACGTCCTCAGCCAGTGCAACCGACTTAGCGCAACGCCCCAAAACCTACCCCTGCACGCTAGCTCCATGCGTAAGTCACGCCAATAACGTCCAAGCTAGCGCACGGCCATAGCTGCACGCTACAGCCATGTCTAGTGCAGACCCGAGACACGACTAGCTCCAATGCTAATGCGCACCGCTATGCACGCCTAAGTCCCATCTGCTAGTTGCAGACCTACGCACGCTAATATCACGCTTAAAGCCATGCTAACGGCCACAGCTGAGTGCACACTATCCATGCAGTCCCGACACAACGCAGCGCACTCAACAGCTAGTGCACGAACTAGTCCATGCTAGCGCACAAGCGCTATCCCTGCTCAGCCGCCACGCCTAGTGCACCGCCATAAGTCCCAATGCTGTTCGCACGCTAGTCCATGCATGCACGCTAGTGCACGCTAGTCCATGCTAGTTGCAGCACGCGTGGCGCACGGCTATCACGTCTAGTTCCATCTAGTGCACGCTGTCCATCTAGTGGGCACGCTAGTCCATGCTAGTCATCTCAGCCCCGCACGCTCAGTGCAGCGCTTAAGTCCATGCTAGTCCATGCTCAGGCGCACGCTAGGCACGCTAGTGCCATGCTAGTAACAAACGATAGTCCACCTGCTAGTCCACGCTAGTGCACACTAGTCGCTGTGCTAGCACATACTAATAGACAGTAATAGCACAC